ATATATGATCTAGTTTTGAGAAGGATCCATGTGCTGCTGAGAAAAAAAGTGTAACTGCTTGATGTTGGGTGGTATATTCTATATATGTCAATTAAGTCTAGGTTATTAATTGTATTATTGAGTTCTATAGTTTCTTTATTCAGCTTTTGTTTGGAAGATCTGTCCATTGGTGAGAGAGGTGTGTTGAAGTCTCCCATAATTATTGTATGGTGGTCTATTAGACTCTTGAGCTTGAGAAGAGTTTGTTTGATGAACATAGCTGCACCACTGTTTGGGGCATATATATTTATGATTGTTATGTCTTGTTGGTGTATGGTTCCCTTGAGCAGTATGTAGTGTCCCTCTTTATCCCTTTTGATTAACTTTGGCTTGAAATCTATTTTATTTGATATGATTATGACACTCCTGCTTGTTTCTGAGGTCCATATGAGTGATATGATTTTTCCCAACCTTTCACCTTCAGTCTATGTGTGTCTTTTCCTATCAAATGCATCTCCCGTGGGCAGCATATTGTTGGATCTTTTTTTGATCCAGTCTACTAGCCTGTGTCTCTTGATTGGTGAGTTTAAGCCATTAACATTTAGTGTTATTATTGAGATATGGATTGTTTTTCCAGCCATATTTGTTTATTTATATTCCTTAACATGGTTTGTTTTTCCTCTTTGATTATTTTTTATTATTTTTTCCCTTTACTGTACTACCTCCCACTGTTGGTTTTCATTGTCCTTTCAATCTCATCTCATCTCATCTCCTTCAAAGCACTAATGACTCTAATTTCTCATCACATTTCATATAAGAATGTCTGTAACCAGGATTGGTAAAGGAGGTCTGGGGAGTTTTCAAAATGGGAACAAAATATCACTTTGAGATGGTGAAAAATTTCTGGAGATGGATGATGATGATAGTTTGACAACCATGTCAATGTAATTAAGGCTGTTGTGCTGTGTACTTGAAAATGGTAAAAACTGTAATGGTTTTGAGATTTAAATTTACCACAGTTTATTTTTCTTGCCTAATTTCTCTAACAAATGTTTCAAGGATGGTATTGAATAGAGGTGATGGAAGTGTACATTTTTGCCTTGTTCTTGAATTTGTGAAGGAAGAATAAAGAAACATAAATCATGTGGAAGAAGTCTAATTGTCTATTTGCTGATGATGTAATCCTATTCTTAGAAGATCCTAAAAACTGCACCAATGGTTTCTTTTTCTTTTTTTGGTTTGCTTTAGTATATTGAATATCTTTCTAAAATAAACTATGAGAAAGCCATTCTAATTCAATGATTTCAAGAGATGCTGAAAGATTCAAGATTAACACCCATTATTAGCAATGTAAAACGGAGGGAAAGATCAGTGAATTATGCCCGTAAAATTCTGCCCCCATGGGAGAAGGGTGAAGCTGAAAGCCATCAATGGGAAAGATGAAGAAAGATGAGCTCTCAGAGCAGGGGTTTCTGGATAAAAGCTGTTCCTTGCTCACTGTGTCAATTTTTTTTCTCCCAGCCCCCTCAGGCTGATTCTTTAGGCTAAGATGGTGGAGATGGTTTTTGCTGTAGTAGAGAAGAAAGTGGTAGGCTGAACCAGGGGTAGTGCTAAATAGCTTCCCGAGTCATGCTTGGCTCAGGCTTCTCCAGGGAAGATGGACAGAGGAGCTAGAAGTCCAGGTGGCAGGACACGCCTGGATAGCAAAGAGAGAGAGTCTGCAATGCCCATACAAGGGACAGCAGTCCAAACCCTATCTTGCACATGCAGATGGAATCTGACAAAGACTTGCCCTAAACTGTCTCCCCTGTGGGATTGACCTAGCCCTAGTAAGCCCTTGGTGGGCAGCGTGGGAGAGCGGGAGTCAGGGTAGCCCAGTGTTGGACAGGACACCATGGGAGACAGACCCCCATGTGTTTTCTGGCTCATCTCCATCTCTCAAAGGTTTTGGACATGCACACAGCTGGAGGAGATCTCCCTGGTGGAGAACTTTGGAAAGCTCCCTCTAGTGAGACAGGGCAGGGGTGGCAGGGTTGGGGTGGGGAGTGCCTTGAGAAAGCAGCTGAGGAAAGGTTTCTTGAGCTTATAAACATACTGAGCAATTCTGTAGTATACAACATCAGCACACAAAAACCAGGTGCTTTCTTACATGTCAATAATGAATATGTTGAGAAAGAAACCAAGAACACTGTTCCATTCACACTAGCCTCAAAAGATCTTCAGAATTAATTTAACAAAAGAAATGAAAGACCTCCTCAAAGAAAAGTATGGAAGGCTGGAAAAAGTAAGAGAGAAGACACCAGAAAATGTAAAGCCCTCCCATGTTCAGAGTTAGGAAAAATCAATAATGTTAAAATGGCCACGTTGCCAATCTACAGGAGTCAATGAAATACTCATCAAAATATAGTTCTGAGAAGAACTGGAAATAACAGTTCTACAATCTGTGTGGAAGAACAAGAGACTCAGAATAGCCAATGCAACTCAGATGCAGAATAACCAAAGCAGAGTAGAGCTGGAGGCATCACAATACTCAATATTGAAATACTGAAATCCTTCGGGATTTAGATAACACGGATCAATTTGTTTAATTATGAGCTTTTTGCATTGAACCTCCAAGGTCATATGAATGTCAATTATCAGTCTGTAGCCCTTCAGCTTGATCTATTTGATCCACTGCTCCATGATCATGTTTCTTCCTTCCATGGTTCTGCATCAGGAAGCTCCTATTTGAGACTGAATTGATAGCAATCTTAGGGACTGAGCAGGCACTCAATGGCCTCCAAGCAGGAGAGGGGTGTTCAATCTGTGTTCTTTAGTTATAACCCAGCAGAGATGCACCATACACTAGTGAATTCTGAAGTAGACATTGGATGGAGGAAGGTCCATTACAAATGTTTCCTCCTCCTCAGGTCAAACATCACACTTTGACTAGCTAAACTGGACAGTCAGGAAACTAGCTGTGCAGGTTAAAAATCTAAGTCAGGAAAACAGTTGTAAAAGCTTGAAACTCTTTGTTACTGGGATAATAATCCAGAGCCCAGAGCCCATTTGTTTGCCTTCCCCTCCAGGATACTGGGAAAGGAGGAAAGACCAGAGAGAGCACAAGGCACTTTGTTTGCCTTTTCTCTCCCAGGACCCTTTGTCCTCCCTCAGCCCTGGGGGTTGTCATTTCCCTTTTCTAGGGAAATGTAGTTTTTCATATTCTTCACTTATACATAGAATTAACCCTTTAAACACCCTGTTCCCACTGCTCAGGTCTACCTAGACCACCACCATGTTCCTTGGCATATAAATTTCCAATGATCTGTGCTATATTCAGAATTGAGTCCAGTTCTATACTGAGGTCTCTACTCCCCTACTGCAATTGTCCTAAATAAAATTTGTTCTGGGGTAGGGGTATAGCTTAGTGGTAGAACACTTGCCTAGCATGTACAACACATTGGTCCGATCCCTAGCATTGAAAAAAAAAATTTTCTTTACTGCTTTGTAAGGGTGAAGCAGACCAGTTACCCCCATCCAAAAGACCATTGCCACAGTTAAGCTTTTTTCCTTGTCAGAAAGAATTTTACCAAGGGTGTCAATAGGATATCAGCAAAAATTTCTGTGGTTTGTAGCTTCCTCTTTCTTATAAATGCCAGGTTTGCAGACAAAATTTGTGAAACCTCTGTCTAGCCTAAAAATGTGGGACAAAGAGTAACTGTTATGTACCCACCCAGGGACATGTAACCACCCCACTGACTATAAGTCTAAAAGAATTTTCAGATTCAGGGTCCAAAGCTTTTTAGGCATTAGCTTCCTCTGGACTGCTGCAGCTAAAATAAACCTGATTTCTGGTGTCCAGCCACATCTGTCCTATATCAAGGAGACAGACAGATTTAGATGTAAGGTGTAAGGGGACAAATAGATGAAGATGGTGGGAACACAAGGTTCAGAGAATAATTCTATAAAATGAGTTCACTGTACTGATTCTCACATGCTTTCTTTGCTAAAAAGCAATCTGCCTTCAGCCCTACCTGGCCTCGGGGGACAGGAAAAACACATTCCTTGCTTTTTTTGGCTATACCTTTTGTTTCTTAATCTATTCTTTAGGTTTGGACAGGAGAGTCTGTTTTTTTACAGACATGACATCATAAATCAAGTTGGAGTAAACTATTATGAACTTAATAGTTTCATATACATTGTATAATATTTATCAAAACTACTGATAAAATGTCTTCACAAAGCAGATTCAAAACAGGACTTGATAAAAGCCACAAACTACAGCTAACATGGGAACCTTGGTGATTATTATTAACCAAGACAAGAATACCTTCTTTCTTATCTGACTTATAGTTAGGAGGCCCTGCACAAACAAGAAGAAAAATAAACGACTCATGAATATTATAATAACAAAAATGCACAGGAAACATTATTTATATTTAAGTCCAAAATAACGAACTTACAGATATTAAAGTTCAGCAAGGTTTCCAGACAGAAGGACCTAATTAAATACTTTTCAATAGCTTTCCTCTAGCAGAGCAATATCAATAAAACAATGAAAGGGAAAAGTAAAGACCTAAAGGACGGAATCAATGGAAAAGAGTTTATCCCACAGGTTGGTAGACTCAGAGTTTTAAGTATCATGGCCTGTGGACAGGGCTCTAGCAAGGGTATTAACGCATTTGATGAGCATGATACTCCCAGGCTTCGGTGAACCTGTGTGACAGGCTCTAACCTTAGCCCCGCCTCTAGGAACTTCCAGGGGTCTCGCTTGGCAACCAGGTCCCATCTTAGAACCAACCTCTGGACTATTAAAAGCCACGACCCTTGATCTGGTCTCACCTGAGTCCACTCGGCCGGCCTAGCCTGGTCCCTCCCCAGCCTCTTCCTCGGTTCTGGTTCTCTTTTTACCTACAAGCCCAGGGAAAATTAGCTCGTTCTGCGTGCTGATGGATTGAGCCCCGGCCCGCCCAGCTCCTGTAGCCCCGCCCCTTACGCAGAGCGTTTCTCAGAATGGGGAGGGGGTAGCGGGAGGCAGAAGAGCGCGTCTGCGCACGCGCTAGGTAGCTCACTGTGTGCGTGAGGCCGCCATGACACTTTAGGCTGCAGCTCGCGTGAGAGATATATTCTTGCCTCAGTCCGCATCCTATCCGTCCCAGCCCCGCGCCATCCAGGTATGGTCCCCGGGAGGCGGAAGGCTGGTTTCTTCCCTTCCGCCGCAGCATCCTATCCGTCCCGGCCCCGCGCCATCCAGGTATGAGCCGCGGGAGGCGGAAGGCTGGCTTCCGCTCGTTCGCCTTCCCCGGGCCCCCTTCAACCGCGCGGCCCAGAGTCCGGTCGGCTCCGCCGGCGCCGAGCTCGTCCCGGTGACCGCATCGGGGACTCCGGGCTTCGCCAGCGGCGGGCGCGTCTCCTGCCGGCCGGAGCTGGAGAGCCCCGCGACCTCTCCCTGCGGAGAGCAGAGGCCTCGCCTGCGTCCGGGTCCCGGTCCGGAGCTTCGTGCGGGTCTGCTGGTCTGCACACACCCAGCGTGGGGTGAGCTCGGCCGGCTGCCCCTGGGCCTCGCTCACTGTCTAGCGCGGGTCTGAGAGTTCCCCGGGGGCCTGGGGCATGTTTGACACATTGCATTCAGGTACACAAGAGGGAGCTGATTTTAAAATACTTTTAACCCGCCTCCTGGGCAAGTGCATTTCATCCTTAATAAAGTGATACATTTTAGCCTGGCGCGGTGGTGTACGCCTGTAATCCCAGCTACTTGGTTCTGAGGTAGAACTTGATCCCAAGTTCAAGGGCAGCCTGAGCAATTTAGGCAGGCCCTATCTCTACACAAAAAATTAGAAGGACCAGGGGTGTACTTCAGTGGTAGAGTGCCCTTGGGTTCAATCCCTAGTACTGCAAAATGCAGGGAGGAAAAAAAAGAAACAAAAGCTTGGTCACTTATTTATAGATTCTTTCAATTTTGCACAGAAAATGTGCCAGTTTGAATTTTTTTCCTCCTAAATCTTTGTGTTTTCCATTTTTTTTTGTTTGTTTGTTTCTAATTACTGCACTTGCCAGGACGTCCAGCTGAATGGAGATTAGCATATAATTTTCATTCTTGCCTTGTTCCTGATTTCAGAGAAAATTAATCAGTATTTCACTATTAAATAGAATGTTTGCATTTTTTAACCTATAAAATCTAATCCTTTCTAATGGCCTAAGTTATTATTAGCAATGTACACTGAAATAGATTAGTCATTGCTTTGTGTCTAAGGGAATATGTCAAATAACCTTTCTATGAATACTGTGAATTTCATTAATCAGTGATTCAATTTTTGTTTATTTTATTCTTGTGGTGCAAGGATTGAATCCAAGGACTCAACACTAGTAAGGCACCGTACCACTGAGTCCCAGTGATTCAGTTTTATTCTTTTTTTTTTTGTTTGGGTGATTCAGTTTTTAAGCATCCATCATTCCTAGGATGAAATGAACTTAAATTGTGATTTATACTTATTGTTCATTTCTCAACTCTTACCAATACTTTTGTGTTATTTGTAGTTTGTTTGTGATCTGGCATATTTTTTAGTTGTACCCTTCTGGTGTTGAAAGTAGGAAATTACCTTCCCTCTGTACACTGGAATTATGAATTTCCCACTTATTTTGTGAAACTTTCTGTAAAACAATTTGCAACTTCTGTTTCCTTGTGCATGTTTTAAATATGATTCTTTTAATAACTGGATACAATGAAATTTTCTTCTTCCTCCTCCCCCTCTTCTACCACTACCATCAACACCCACCACCACCACCACTTCCACCACCTCCACTACTTCTTCCTTTTCCTCTTTCTCATCTCTTCTAGATTCTACCTCTTGTAGTTCCTGTTACCTCCCAGTAGTCCATTCAAACTGTTAATCCATAAAATGGATTAATCCACTGATGAAGTCAGACCCCTTATAATCCAATCGCTTCCCCCAAGCCCAAACTCTGAACACTGCAGCACTGGAGACCAAGCCTTCAACACAGGAGGCTTTGAAAGACATCCCAGATTCAAACCATAACAAATAGGTTGATTCTCTTTCTCAGAAATTAGGTTTTGTGGTGCCCATTGGGTGGGGTTGGGATGACAGCAGTGTTCAGGGGTTTGTAGTAATGCCTATTATCCTGTAAAATGGTAAACAAGTAAAAATATTGGTCAAGGAGCCCCAAGAAGCCTAGTGTTTAAATAAATTAGTGGTTTCTTAGATATGAATCAGGGAATATATATTCTTAGGGTTGAAGGCACCACTTGATACATTTTATGCTTTTTGTTATGGGGAAATGAACAGCCAGATGTTCTTAAGACTTGAGTTAATTTACTAATAAAATGTTACTATTAACCTCTTTTGTATCATTGACAAGGGTAAGAGTGTTTTTTGTATCTCTAGGGGAGAAAGCATTGTTTCAGTCATACAAGTTCAGTTTGTATTTACTTGGGAGTCATGGTATGTGTTTTGAGTTGTCACTGGTAATTGATGTGCTACAATATCCAGGCTCATGAGTATGGGAATTCTCTGGAGGGTTGGATTCCCATGTCAGCTTCTGTCTTACCTATAACTTCTCAGTGTCTTACTTTTCTTTATGAAGGTGACATGGAGGAAGAAAGAATAAGTGTTGGATTACAGAAGAGTATGATGCAGGTAAGTAAAAGGTATAATGCTCTAAAAGAATATTTCTATTTCATTTGATATCCTGCTGCTATTTTAGAGCACAGGTTAGCAATCTGCTTCTTTTTTTTGGATCACATGGTAAGTATTTTAGGTTTTGAAGGTCATAGAATTTCTGTTACAAGGAAATTGTCATTTTAATACAAAAAATATTCATAGAGGAACATAAACAAATGTTTTATTGTATTGCAATAAAACTTTACTTTAAGTAGGTGATAGGCTAGAGTAAGTGCATGTGCTATAGTTTGGTGAGCCCAGGCCACAATACTATAAAACCGAGCCAGCTGTGGGCCTGAGTTGAAAGATGTGCAGGCTCTTGGGCCTCTCAGGATTGTGAGGGGGGAAAAAGGAAAAGTTCCCATTCACTCTTTGTGTTTTCATTCATTAAAACCTCATCAAGATTTAAACCTGAGTTTGATGTTGTGCTCAATGCCTTAATAGGAAAAAAGTAGCAGGTGAAGTTATTCTTGAATAAGGAAGAATTTATGAATATAGAATAATATGATATTGTCCAATATGTGGTCTTGGTCCCATATCCTGGCATAGAGTTCCTAAAACCCTTCAAATGTCTGGACTGATAAGAGTAGCTTTGTATGATGACTGGTGACCAGGACAGATAGCCTCAGGATGACTGCTGGTCCAGAAGAACTAAGGTATGCTTGACTCTTCAGCCCTATCCACTAACCTTGAAGTTGAGAGGTACTGAAGGTTAAATTGTTTATTTAAATTGCTAATTTAAATCAGCCATGCTTTCTAGTAAAGCCTCTGTGAGAACCCAAAGAGAATGAATTTAGGGAGCTTCTGTATAGCTGAATATGTAGAGGTTCCTGGTACGAGGCACCCCAATAGGCATGGAAGTTCTGCAGCTTTTCCTACCCTGCTATGCCATATATATTTCTTTATCTGGATAGTTCTCTGTATTTATAAGAAACCATAAGCACAAGGAAGTGTTTGCTTAGATTCTGTAAGCCATCCCAGCATATTAGCCAACTCAAGGAGGGTACAGTGGGGACCCTGAGATGTAGCCATTTGGTCAGAAGTATAAATGACAATGTACTAGTTGTTATGTTGCTTGAAGTATGGGGAAGTTTTGTGGGACTGAGCCCTCAACCTGTGGGATGAAGCTGTCCATGTAGATAGTGTAAGAATGTTATTGAATAACAGGAAACCTAGCTAGTGTCTGTTGGAGAACTGCTTGATGTTTGTGGAAAATTACCCACATACCTAATATCCAGTGTTCTGTGCAGGTTCGAAGGAAAATAACTTTGATTTTTTTTTTTTTTTCTTATTTCATTACCATCAACTGCAAAGAGACTTATGTAGTATTTTAGAAGTATTTTGGCTTTTAGACAGGATTTGTTCAGTCTCTAAGTATGTGTGAGTAGAAAGGGAAAGAGATCTGCTGACCGAGTCCTCAGATAGACTTGGGGAGACCACAGAATCTTCTGAACCTCCCCTGAATTGATTCTCAGGTCCCCAGTGCTGTCAGCCTCACCCATCATCTCGCACACACTGGAGGAATTGTACCTTTCTGAAGAGAATTTGTGGCATCTTTTAGGACTCGGTGACCTTTGAGGATGTGGCTGTGGACTTTACCCAGCAGGAGTGGGCTTTGCTGGATCTTGCTCAGAGGAGCCTCTACAGAGATGTGATGCTGGAAACCTTCCAGAACCTGGTCTCACTAGGTAAGACTGGCAATGTTGGTTCATGTAGTGGTTTAGAAAACAATTTTATCTACTAGTTGACCTTGTCCAGGATTTGTGCTGAGGAGTGGGAGTACTTAGTAAATAAGACAAACGTGGTCACTGACCACAGGGTGCTTACGATCTGGAGGCTTCTTCATGAAAATGAACACGGGCATATTAAACTTGTTTTTTTCTTTTTCTTTTTGTGGTTGAAAGCCTTGAGACTTATTAAGTATTGAATGTGTGGGCATTGAGGGGCTTCTCTGGGGCACAGGGAGAGTTTGTGATTTGTGACCTTTGAAGATTCTACTGCTGTGAATGCCCTTTAACAGAGACCACCAGGAGTACACCTGTAAGTTAAACAAGCGGGGTTTATTTTGAAGTCATGGGAGAACATACCCATTGGGAGTCGAGGGGTGTCTTAGTAAGAGGGCGTTAGAAAGTACCTATTCGAGAATTTGTGGTTTTTGGATGATTTAGAGATGAGTCTATGGGGTAGATTATATTGGTTACTTAGGCTCTCTATGAACAAGTACCATAAACTGGTGGGTAAAAGTATAGAAATTTTTATTCTTTCATGTTTCTGGCATCTTGGAGTTTGAAACCAGGTGTCAGCACAGCTATATTCTTTCTAAAGGCTCAAAGGAAAAAGTCCCTCCCTGTCTCTTTCTAGCTTCTGGTGGTTGCTGGCAGACCTTTTTGTTTATAGATGTATCACTCCAGTCTCTGTCTCCACCATTACCTTCCCTGTGTACCTGTTTCTAATCTCTGTCCATATAGGGACATCAGTCATTGGATTTAGGGTCCCTCTTAATCCAGAATAACCTCATCTTAACTTTAGTATATTGACAAAGACCTTTTTTCCATATAAGGCAACATTCTGAATATGGGTGAACATTTTCAAAATAGGCTTTAAAAAAATGTATGTGTGTATGTACATTTGTACGTCTGCACATATGTATGTATATATGTGTGTGTTTATGTGGTACTGAGAATTTAACCTAGGGGCTCTCTACCACTGAGCGAAATCCCCAGCTCTTTTTTATTTTGTGAAAAGGTCTTGCTAAGTTGCCCAAGTTGGCTTCAAATTTGGGATCTTCCTGCCTCAGCCTCCTGAATAACTGGAGTTATAGGTGTGCACCACCATGCCCCAGAGTAACAGGCTTTAATTTTTAGAGCAGTTTCAGTTTGAAAGCAAAATTAAGTGGAAGGTAGAGAGGTTTCTAAAAACTACTGTCCTCACAACACAGACAGCCTCTTTCACTATGAACATCTTCCACCAGAATGGTCCATGTTTAGTTTACAAATGATGAATGTACATTGACACATCTTCATCATTTACTAGAGTCCATAGCCTATATTAAGGTTCATTTGTGGTGTTGTACATTGTATGGCTTTGGGCAAATGTACAATGACATGTACCATCATAGTAATATGTAGAGTAGTTTTATTCCCCTAAAAATTTTCTGTGCTTTCACTTTTAATCCCTTACTCTCTCTTAACCCTTTGGCAGCCACTGGTCTTTATATCATCTGTATATTTTTTTATCTTTTGTGGAATGTCATAAAGTTGGAATTTATATAGTATGTAGCTTGTTCAGATTGGCCTATTTCACTCGGTAATGTGCATTTAAGTTTCGTTCATGTCTTTTTATGATTTTTCTTTTACTGTTGAATAACATTATGTAGTATAGATGTGCCATAGTTTATTTATCATCCCGTTTACTAAAGGGCATCTTGGATGCTTTCAGGTTTTGACAAGTATGAATTATGCTCTCATAAACATGTGTAGCCCTTTGTGTGCAGTTTTGACTCCTTGGATGAATGCCAAGGGACACAATTTAATTGCTGGATCATATGGTAAGAAGAGGTTTTTTTTTTTAGTATTTATTTTTTAGATGGACACAATATCTTTATTTATTTATTTTTATGTGGTGCTGAGTATTGAACCCAGCGCCTCACATGTGCTTGGCGAGCGCTAGCCCCAGCCCCATGGTAAGCGTATTTTTAATTTTATGAGAAACCACCAGATTGTCTTCATAAGTAGCTGTATCATTTTGCATTCCAATTTGGAATGAATCAGAGTTCCAGTTTCTCTACATTTTTGCCCATATTCGGCATTGTCAATTTTCTGGATTTTGGCTGTTCAAAAAGGCGTGTAGAGGTGTGTCACTGTTTTGTTTTTCCTGGGTGATTTTAGGATGTGGAGCGTACTTTTACTTTTTTACTTGCCATTTGTCTGTATATGTTTAAGTGTTTGTTTAGGTCTTTGGCTATATTTTTATGGTATTTTTTTGTTCTCTTATTATTGATCTTTAAGATTTCTTTGTATAACGCAGCCAAAGAAATGATAAAGTGCGAAGAGACAGCCTTCAGGATGAGAGAAAATCTTTTCCACCTACTCCTCTGACAGGGGATTAACATCCAGAATATACAAGGAACAAAAAAATTCAACAGCAGAACAAAACAAACAAACAAACAAACAAAAATCCCAAAGCAAACAAAAACCAATTAACCCAGTCAAGAAATGGGCAAAAGGGACTAAACAGATTTTTCAAAAGAAGAAATGTGGGCTGGGATTGTGGTTCAGCGGTAGAGAGCTCACCTAGCACGTGCGAGGCCCTGGTTTGGATCCTCAGCACCACGTAAAGATAAATAAATAAAATAAATATATTTAAAAAAAAGATTATTTGTTAAAAAAAAAGAAGAAATGCAAATTGTTGATTGATTGTATTTCTTCTGTGAAGTGTCTATTCAGTTCCTTAGCCCATTTATTGATTGGGTTATTTGTTTTTTTGGTGTCAAGTTTTTTGAGTTCCTTATATATTGTAGAGATTAATGCTTTATTGGAGTTGCATGTGGTAAAATTTTTTTCCCAATCTGTAGGCTCTCTCTTCACGTTATTAATTGTTTCCGTTGAGAGAAGAAGCTTTTAAATTTGAATCCATCCCATTTATTGATTATTTTGAGTTTGCTTCTTGCATTTTAGGAGTCTTGTTAAGGAAGTTAGTTCCTAATCCAATGTGGTGAATATTTGGGCCTATTTTTTTCTTCTATTAGGCATAGGGTCTCTGTTCTAGTGCCTAAGTTTTTTGTATCTACTTTGAGTTGATTTTTTGTGCAGGGTGAGAGATAAGAGGTTTAATTTCATTTTGCTACATATGGATTTCCAGTGTTTGCCGTACCATTTGTTGAATAGGCTATCTTTTCCCCAGTGATTGTTTTTGGCATTCTTGTCTAGTAGGAGATAACTGTATTTATGTGGGTTTGTGTCTGTGTCCTCTATTCTGTATCATTGGTTGATTCAAGTCTATTTTGGTGCCAATACCCTGCTGTTTTTTGTTACTATAGCTGTGTAGTATAGTTTAAGATCTGGTATTGTGATGCCACCTGCTTCATTTTTCTTGCTAATGATTGCTTTAGCTATTCTGGATCTCTTATTTTTCCAAATAAATTTCATGATTGCTTTTTCTATTTCTATGAAGAATGTCATTGGGATTTTAATAGGAATTGCATTGAATCTGAATAATGCTTTTGGTAGTAAGGCCATTTTGACAATATTAATTCTGCGTGTCTAGGAGCATGGGAGATCTTTTCATCTGCTGAAATTTTCTCTAATTTCTTTCTTTAGTGTTCTATGACTTTCATGGTAGAGGTCTTTTGTTAGATTGATTCCCAGTTTTTTTTTTGTTTTTTTGTTTTTTTTTTTTTTTTTTGGGGGGGGGGCTATTGTGAATAGGTTAGTTTTCCTAATTTCTCTTTCAGTGGATTCATTGATGATGTATAGGAATGTGTGTGACTTATGGGTATTGATTTTATATCCTGCTGCTTTGCTGAATTCACTTATTCTAGAATTTTTCTAGTAAATTTCTTTGATCTTCTAGATATAGAATCATGTCATCAACAAATAGTGATAGTTCTTCTTTATCTATTTGTATTTCTTTAATTTCTTTCTTTTATCTAATTGCTCTGGCTAGAGTTTCAAGGATGATGTTGAATAGAAGTGGTGAAAGAGGTCATCCTTGTCTTGCTCCAGTTTTTAGTGGGAATGCTTTCACTTTTTCTCCATTTAGAATGATGTTGGCCTTGGGTTTAGCATATATAGCTTTTACAATGTCGACATATGTTCCTACTACCTCTAGTTTTTCTAGTGTTTTGAGCATGAAAGTGTGCTATATTTTGTCAAATGGTTTTTCTGCATCTATTGAGATGATCATATGATTCTTGTTTTTAAGTATATTAATATAACGAATTACATTTATGGATTTCCGTATATGGAACAAATCTTGCATCTCTCGGATGAATCCCATTTGATCGTGGTGCACTATCTTTTAAATATGTTTTTGTATGTGATTTGCCAGAATTTTATTGAGAACTTTTGCATCTATGTTCATCAGGGATATTGGTCTGAAGTTTTCTTTCCTTGATGTGTCTTTGTCTGGTTTTGGTGTCAGGGTGATATTGGCCTCATAGAATGAGTTTGGAAGGGTTCCCTCCTTATCTATTTCATGGAATACTTTGAAGAGTATTAGTATTCATTCTTCTTCAAAAGTCTTGTAGAACTCAGCTGAGTGTCCATCTGGTCTGGGCTTTTCTTGGTTAGTAGGCTTTTGATGGTGTTTTCTGTTTTATTACTTGAAAATTGATCTATTTAAAGCATGTATGACCTCATCATTCAGTTTGGGTAGGTCACATATCGTTAGAAGTTTGTTGATATCTTTAATATCTTCTATTTTATTAGAGTATAAATTTTCAAAATAGTTTGTAATTATCTTCTGTATTTCAGATGTGTCCATTGTGATATTCCTTCTTCATCCTGTATTTTAGTAATTTGGAGTTTTCTCTTTGTTAGCATGGCCAGGGGTTTATCTATTTTATTTATTTTTTTAAAGAACCAACTTTATGTTTTGTCAGTTTTTCCAATTGTTTCAATTTCATTAATTTCAGCTCTGATTTTAATTATTTCCTGTCTTCTACTGCTTTTGGTGTTGATTCATTTTTCTTTTCCTAGGGCTTTGAGATGTAGTGTTAGGTGATTTATTTGTTGACTTTTCATTCTTTTAATGAATGTGCTTGATGCATTGAACTTTCCTCTGAGTAGTGACTTCATAGTGTTACAGAGATTTTGATATGATTATCAGTGTTCTCATTTACTTCTAATAATTTTTTTATTTCATTCTTGATTTCTTCTACTATACATCATCATTCAATTGTGTATTATTTAGTCTCCATTTATTACTTCTATTTTTATTTTATTGTTGATTTCTAATTTCATTCCATGTGGTCTAATAGAATGCAAGATATTATCTCTTTTTTTTTTTTTTGTATTTACTAAGATTTGCTTTGTGGCATAAGCTATAGTGTGTTTTAGAGAATAAGCCATATGCTGCTGAGAAGAAAGTATATTAGCTTGTTGATGGATGAAATATTCTACATATGTCTGTTAAGTCTAAGTTATTGATTGTATTATTTAGTTCTATAGTTTCCTTATTTAGTTTTTGTTTTGGAAGATCTGTCCCATAGTGAGGGAGGTATGTTAAGGTCACCCATATTACTGTATTGTGGTCTATTTGACTCTTTAAATTGAGAAGCATTTGTTTGATGTACATAGATGCTCCATTGTTTGGGGCATGAATATTTGTAATTGTTATATCCTTCTTATATATACTTTCCTTAAGAGGTATGAAATGTTCTCTTAAGGGAAGTATATGTAATCTCTTCTGATTAACTTTGGTTTGATGTCTACTTATCTGAGATGAGAATGGAAACCTCTGCTTTTTTATACAATCCATTTGAGTGATAAGGTTTTCCCCCATCCTTTTACCTTCAGCCTGTGGATGTCTTTGCTCATGAGGTGAGTCTCTTGAAGACAGCATATTGTTGGGTCTTGCTTTTTAATAAAATCTGCCAGTCTATGTCTTTTGATAGATGAGTTTAGGCCATTAACATTCGAGGTTATTATTGTGATCTGATTTTGTATTCCCTATCATTTTGATTTTTTTCTGGTTTTTGATTTGTCTTAGATTCTCATTTGGTTGAGTGTTGTTTTAGTGTAGATCCTCCCTTTGCTGGTTTTCATTTTTTTTTCCCTTCTTCATCCTCATGGAATATTTTTTTGAGAATGCGCTGTAATATAGACTTTCTAATTGTGAATTCTTTTAATTTTTGTTTATTATGGAATGTGTTCCTATCTTATTCATAATTACTTTTGTACTTTATTGATTTGGACATAAGCACAAAAAATACACCCTGGGATTATAGGCTTGTGTCACTATGTCTGATTCAGATCAGTTCTTCACATTAGAGGCTGCCTTTCCCCCCATATCTCAGCTTTTTCTTTTATCTTCTCTATTTTTCTTTTCTTTCTCTTTCCTCTCCCTCCTTCCTTTGCCTCTTTTTATTTTCTTCAATGGATTTGACATTTTGTTTCAGTTAAACTCATCCTTCTCTGTCTTTAGAGTATCAGAAGACCAAAGTTTGACCCAATCTTATGGAAGGATATTTGTGATTCTTCATTGCTTTCCCTCATGATATTCCTTTCCTCATGTGCAGGGTACCCACTGCTCACACCCAATCTGATCTCCCAGTGGGAACAAGAGGAGGAACTGCAGACAGTGAAGACAGAACTTATCCAGGGCATCTGTACCGAGCAGCACCAGGAAGGCAAGAATCCCTGGGAGAAACTGGCCTGGGAGGAGAAAAAAATAAAATAGAAAATGAAGGAAAAGTTTGTTTTGTCTGAGGAGGCTCATTATCCACAGATGCCTGAGAGGACTATTTTGACTGTTTATCTGTCCTCTCATACTTTCCTTGTTCTTGTCAAAGATCTCCATATTTGCTTTTTTAAAGTTTGTTTTTGGTATGTGTATTTTATCTTTTCTGTGTTCCTCTCCTAATAATTTTTAAAAAATTATTAATGAAACTTTTTAATATATTTTCTATACTAATATGAAATATCAAGTTAACAGAAAAATTTTAACGTAAACTCTCTTTTTTGAAAAAATTATTTTTTTATTTATTTGTTCTACTTTGTTATACATGATAGCAGAATGCATTTTGATTCATATGAAGCCCAATTTTTCATGTCTCTGGTCCCAATAATTTCTACTGGTCATGTTACCATCACTGTCATTCTTCATAGAACTATTTTTTATTTTTCAGCACTGGGGAACCCAGGAGTGCTTTACCACTGAGCTATATCCCATACCGTTTTTAATTTTGAGACTGGGTCTAAGTTGTTGAGTCTGTGCTTGAACCTGTGAACCTCCTATCTCAGCCTCCCAAGTAGCTGGGATTACAAGCATGTGTTACCATACTATGGTAATGTTACCATACTATGGTTTCATGGAAATATTTTTTAGTGAACTGTTTTACTTTTGTCCCTTGTGACTATTAATAATGAAGTCCTGAAACAGCTGCACTGCTCAACGTCCTTCGCTCATAGGTAACTTTATTTTATTTTATTTTTTTTCTTCTTCCAGGCTTTGAGTCTCTACTTAATACTAAGGAATTAGTTGTTCTTCAAGATAACAATGGAGGAAAAATATCCAATGAACAGAAAATAGTGAGATTCAAAAGAAATGGTTCCTGCTCCTCTATTTTACATGAAAACCAGGACTTCCGTGGTGTGGATGATTGGATCAAAAGCCATGAGAAAGGTTTAAGGTGAGTGCCCTTCATATAAGAGTATGTAGTGCATCAGGAACAGTTTTGAGATTTAAGAAACATATTTTGGGGCTGGGGTTGTGGCTCAGTAGCAGGCAGAGTGCTTGCCTTTCACATGTGAGGACTGGGTTTGATCCTCAGCATCACATAAAAATGAATAAATGAAATAAAGATATTATATCCATCTATAACTAAAAAATATTTTTTATAAAGAAACATATTTTCAACATAAACCTAGGTCAAAAATTATGCTTTCATAAGAATGAAATCATGGCATTTGCCAGTAAATGGATGAAGCTGGTGCAAAGAACAAAAGGCGAAGCGTTTTCTCTGATAGGTGGGTACTAATTTACAATGGGGTGGGATTGAGAAGATTAGAGGTACTTTGGATTAGACAGAGGGGAGTGAGGGGAAGGGAGGGGGTGTGGGAATAATAGTAGAATGAATTGGACATTATTATCCCATGTGCATGTATGATTACATGACCAGTGTAACTCTACATCCTGTATAACCAGAAGAATGAGAAATTATACTCCATTTATGTATGATGTATCAAAATGCATTCTGCTATCATGTATAACTAATGAATACATGCAAATAAAAAATAAATAAAAAAAAGAAATAAAAGGATTCAAATTCAAAATAAAAAAATATTGTGCTTTCACAAAGAATTTTGTCTAGATAGTTTTTCCTACAAATGATACTGAGATATTGAAGGTTTGACACATAGATTGGTTTGACAGATTTATCAGAAAAATCATGTAAGTCAAAAGCTCAGTGACAATGTTGGCTGTGGAAGAGCGTTCTTGAGAACTTTTAGCTTATAAGTTGATGGGGCACAAAGCATACATATTTACTGAAAATGGTAAATTTTATTACTAATAATCTGTCTTTTATTTTTAAAAGTCATGTGGTAGAGAACATCTGTGAATACAATGAAGAAAATCAATGTGGACAAATTTCAAATCTTATGCTCCAGAGAACTACTGAAGTCAAATCCTTTGAATGCTATGAGTGTGGAAAGTCCTTCCTGTTTCATTCATCACTTAAGAATCACAGCAGATCTCATGCTGGAAACAAACCCTATCAGTGTAAGGAATGTGGGAAAGCCTTCCATTTTCTTTCTTGTTTTAAGAAGCATATGAAAACTCCTACTGAAGAAAAACCATATGAATGTAAGGAATGTATAAAGGCCTTCAGTTGTTCCTCCCTGTTCAGAGCACATATGAAAATTCATAGTGAAAAGGCAAACTATGAATGTAAGGAATGTGGGAAAACCTTCAGTAGTTCTTCCCACCTCACAGAACACAAAAGGATTCACAGTGGAGATAAGCCCTATGAATGTAAGGAATGTGGGAAGGCCTTTAGTTGTTCCTCATCACTCTCCAAACACAAAAGAATTCATAGTGGAGATAAGCCATATGAATGTAAGGAATGTGGGAAGGCCTTTAGCTCTTCCTCTCATCTTATAAGACATATTAGAATTCACACAGGAGAGAAGCCTTATGAATGTAAAGAGTGTGGGAAGGCCTTCAGTGAATCCTCAAAACTCACTGTACATATGAGGACACACACCGGAGAGGAACCCTATAAATGTAAGGAATGTGGGAAAGCCTACAATTGCCCCTCCTCCTTAAGTATCCACATGAGAAAACACACTGGAGAGAAACCTTATGAATGTCTGGAATGTGGAAAAGCCTTCTATCTCCCCACTTCCCTGAACACACATGTGAGCAATCAAAGTAGAGAGAAACCATATGAATGTAAGAAATGTGGGAAGGCCTTCAGTTGTCCCTCATCCTTTAAAGCACATGTGAGAGATCACCATGGTAAGGTGCAATATGAATGTAAGGAGTGTGGGAAGGCCTTTAGTCATTCCTCATCCCTCACTGAACACCTAAGAACTCACAGTGGAGAAAAGCCTTATGAGTGTAAGGAATGTGGGAAGGCCTTCATTAGTTCTTCCTATCTTACAGTACATAGAAGAACTCACACTGGAGAGAAACCTTATGAATGTAAAAAATGTGGGAAAGCCTTTATTCGTTTGTCAGGTCTTAGTAGCCACTTGAGAACTCACACTGAGGAAAAACCCTATGAATGTAAGGAATGTGGGAAGGCATTTCGACATTCTTCATACCTTACTATACATGCAAGAATGCACACTGGAGAAAAACCCTTTGAATGTCTGGAGTGCGGAAGAGCTTTCAGTTCTCCCTCATCATTTGGGAGACATGTGAGAAACCATACTGGAGATAAACCATATGAATGTAAGGAATGTGGGAAAGCCTTCATTAGTTCTTCCTATCTTACAGTACATAGAAGAACTCACACTGGAGAGAAACCTTATGAATGTAAAAAATGTGGGAAAGCATTTATTTGTTTCTCAGCTCTTAGTATCCACATGAGAACCCACACTGAGGAAAAACCCTATGAATGTAAAGAATGTGGGAAGGCATTTCGACATTCTTCATCCCTTACTATACATGCAAGAATGCATACTGGAGAAAAACCTTTTGAATGTCTGGAGTGTGGAAGAGCTTTCCGTTCTCCCTCATCCTTTGGGATACATGTGAGAAGCCATACTGGAGAGAAACCATATGAATGTAAGGAATGTGGGAAAGCCTTCAGTAGTTCTTCCCATCTTACAGTACATAGAAGAACTCACACTGGAGAGAAACCTTATGAATGTAAAAAATGTGGGAAAGCCTTTATTTGTTTCTCAGCTCTTAGTATCCATATGAGAATCCACACTGAGGAAAAACCCTATGAATGTAAGGAATGTGGGAAGGCATTTAGACATTCTTCATCCCTGACTATACATGCTAGAATGCACAGCGGAGAAAAACCCTTTGAATGTCTGGAGTGTGGAAGAGCTTTCAGTTCTCCCTCATCCTTTGGGATACATGTGAGAAGCCATACTGGAAGGAAACCATATTAATATAAGGAATGTGGCAAAGCCTTTATTTGTACAGCCTACTTTCGAAGACATGTGAAAATTCACACAAGGGACAACATATAAATGTAAGGAGTAAGGGAATCTCTGCAAGACTTTTTCTGAACTAATGCAGTTTGTGAAGTCTCATTTTGTGAAGTCTTATACTGTAGAGACACTATAAATATGAGAAAGTAGGAGATTACCACTCATTCTTTTGAATAGTTGAGGACAACTGAGAGAAACCCTGTGTTTGTTAGCTATAAGGTAAAGCCTTTTGATTTTGAACATAACTTGTGCCACAGTCTGGCTGGGCTGTGCAAAGTAGCCGGTGGGGGGTGGGGCGACAAGCAACTTGTAAAGGTGGAAACAGCGGGAGCCACTGTGTTCAGACCAGCAGAGGTATATATACCCAAGTAAATACAGACAGCTTATCTCAATTAATATCATCCAGTTACAGCAATCAGTCATTAAGGAATCCTCACCATCTTAATAATCAAACACAGCTTAACTCAATTAACATCATCTAGATACAGCAGTCAGTCATTAAGGAATCCTCATCATCTTAATAGCTCGCTGGCGTTACTTCTCAAACCACTCCTCCTGGCAGCGTGCCAGACACCTTCTTGACTTGGCTGTGGCTCTCAACACTTGTGTAAGAAAATTCTAAATTTGAGCTAGAAAAGAACATCAGTGCCTCATTAAAGTGGACTTCTAGAGGGTCATTGATTTCCAGTGTTTTCTAATAGGAAGATTTAAGGTTATATGTTTCCCTTTTCAGCTTTTATGACATACTTTTGAGTATGAGGTGAGTTTCTTTAGCTGAGATGTAAATGTTATTTCTATTACAAAGTCTTTTGAACTCTTGGGAGATTGTGTGTGTACAGGTGTGTATGCTTCTCCTCTGAGACAGGGTCTGGCTATGTTCTCCAGGCCTGTAACTCCTGGACTTCTGCCTTAGCCTCCTAAGTTTGGGAGTGCAGGCATATATCATTGAGTCTGGCTCAAGTACATTTTTTTTTTTTTTTTTGGCAGGCAGGTAAATGGTGGTTTTTTTTTTTATTGTTTAAGTTTGAACGCACAGAATGGGCACCTTCTTCTTCTTCATCTTTGTCTTTGCTTTTGCCTTCTTCTTCTTCATCATCTTCCTCTTAGTCTTTGCCTTCGTCTGGATACTGAAAGTTGCATACCCAATAATTCCCCCCTTACCTTTAAACTAAGAGTACCAACTGTTTTTGAGAATATTAGTGTTTACTATCAAAAGCTTTTCATGTGTAATAAAAAGTTTTAGCAGAAATTAATTAGTACAAAGGCCTTGAAAGAGTATAATCTCATCTATTTGCTGTTTTGTGTTTTATTCTTTATGTTTGTTCATGACTGGAATCTTTTTGAATTTAAATTTTTTAAGTTGTTGATGGATCTTTATTTTATTTATTTATATGTGGTGCTGAGAATCGAACCCAGTGTCTCATACACGCTAGGTAAGCACTCAATTACTGAGCCAGAGCCCCAGCCCTCATAGCTGGAATTTTGATCTAATGTTTTAAGTTAATAAAGTGTGTTATATTAATTTGGATATAGCTGAAGAGTACATTTCCCTTAATCACTTCTAATCCTAGGTGATAGTTTTCTAAAATAACTTTGCAAGAAGTTTGAAAGGCTTTAGGGAAGGAGCTACAATTGCCTGCTTATTAGGACCACGATATAGGTAGACCAATGAGTAGGGACCTTGTGGGCCCCAGTTTTCAGCTCATTTTTCTAAGTATTGAACACAGTGATCCATCCTTGCTCAAAACTGAATGTTAAGTGCTTGACCTCAGTCTCCTCAGGGGCTGCACCTCCACAAACATCTCCATTATCTCCTGTATCCTGGCCAAACACAACTTAGATTTCTCTGGCAAGCTCATTTTGGCATTTTTGCTTCTCATTGCACTTCCTCTGGCACTTTCACTGCCCTGTTAGAGTTGACCAGTTTGTGGAAGGATTGTCATCATGCTCACAGTCCAGTCCCATTCTTCACTCTGCTTATGGGATTGATGTCTATACAAGCCTACCGTGCCGCAGTCTGGCTGGGCAGAAAATCACGAGCCACTCAAGCAGTTTATTTTTGAAACTGCCGCCAATGCCCCATATGCTCCCGGGAAGATTGCCGACCGACCCATGTGGCGTTCTCCCGGACCTCCACAGGAGGTCCCTCCTCCAGAATTCCCTCCTACCGCACTTCCCCAACCAATGGGAACTCTCCAGGAGTCCCGTAGCAGGCCAGGTGAACAGCAGGAATCTAATATCCATAAGGATGCAGATCTTAACATAATCATATCATCTCAATGGCTTGCTGTTGTCACCTTTCAACCCAAAATGCCATGCATCAGATTACTTGGCTGTGGCTCTTAGCATCTCCCCCCTTCTGTTTAATTAAGCAACAAGTAATGTGGCTAGGGAGTGTGACTGTTAGGTTTGTCCAATTCAACATATGGTTCTTACCCGTCATCGGATGAACTGACCTCTAGGCGTCATCCTCCAGTCTTAGGTTGATACCACTGCAATTGGATCATACCCATCACTGACTACCAGTCTAGCATATAGCCATACTTGTGGATAGGCCTATGCACCAGTGGGGGGGTGAGGTTCTTAGCCTCACCTCTGCTGGCCCCCAAATTTGGCCTTGGTGCCGTTGGGGGGGTGAGGTTCTTTGCCTCAACTCTGTTGGCCCCCAAATTTAGACCATCACTAGTAGAAGGGAGGAGGATACAGAAATGTCATGACACCAAGCCAATTGATAGCTCCTTAGGAAAAATTGCATCACTGGTGACACATCAGCAAAGATACACCAGCACTACCATAATTCGCTGCATTAACAGATAGTTCACAATGCATGCAAGTGATATATAGTCCAGGCAATTTCTGCAAGCAGTTCAAAGTGGAGGAATCTATCAATATGTCCGTTTCCTCCCAAAATAAATCGACTCTTTGATTGAGCATTACTTGTTGAGTTATTATTCATTGATGCATCAGTTTATACAGTTTGTTGTGATAACTATCGAAGAAGTTGTAGTTTGGTTTCATTTTTGTCTTCACTGGCACTGGGATTGAAATAGGAATTCTGACAATGATGCTAAAAAAATTATGTAACATTTCAACAGGTACTGAGAAAACAATTTTCTGAACAATTTACATTTTCCTGAACAGAATTATTAAATATAATGAAAAGGAAAGGTGAAAGTAAACAAACAGATATGTCAACTTCCTATTTGTTCACATATTAAAACAATCCTCAACAGCTGTTTACCCAATTTAAATTAAACCATTAAAATCATGTAAATAATAAAAAAAATTTGGATCCATTTATTCATGAGCGCTCCTCATATATGATATATGGACACACACACATACAGACTTACAACACAACAGAAATGTGCACATATAACATACAACACATAAGACAATAGTAAAGGCCTTGTAGCTTTACACAGGTGAAATCTCCATTGCAATGTTTAAAAACTCCACAGTCAAAAAATAAAACTGATCAGAAAAACATTAACCTAGGTCTGTATGAGCTCAAAAATAAAATAGAACTTTATGATGTGGGAAAAAGCAATAATAAAATAGACATTGGAAAAAGCATCCTGGTTAATCACTGTGACAGATGTAAGACTAGCCAACTGGAGCTCTGGATATCAGCTGTTATGGATTTGAGTCAAATCATCTTTTTTTTTTGGTCTGTAGAAATTGTTTTGGTTAGTCTCTCTGGAATCCAAATCGGCTGCTGTTCTCCCTGTAGAAACACACAAACACAACCCCGACACCAGACAATCACTGGGTCAGGACCTTTCCATTGTCCTGTTAGAATATCCTTCCAAAGTACCTTAGGCTTATGTACATTTTTTGGATTCTAATGTCTTTCCGTAGCACTAAGCCCTGATGAATCCAAATTTAAAATGTTTAGAGTAAAAAGGGTTATTTTAAGTTTATCTTTGGGGGATATATGCCCCTTTCCAATTCCCTCCTTTTGTTTTAATAAGTACATTTTAATAGTTTGATGAGCTCTTTCAACTATGCCTTGTCCCTGTGGATTGTATGGAATTCCTGTTATGTGAGTAATGCCAAATGCTGAGCAAAATTGTTTAAAAGAGGTAGAGGTATAGCCAGGGGCATTATCTGTTTTTAACTGTTTTGGAATGCCCACAGTGGCAAAATTTTGAAAGCAATGAGCTATAATATCTTTAGTTTTTTCTCCATTATGAAGGGAGCCCATCAAAAATCAGGAAGAAATATCAACTATAACATGCAAATATTTTAATTTTCCAAATTCTGGCAAGTGAGTGATGTCCATCTGCCAAATATGGTTAGGTATCAGTCCTCTAGGATTGACTCCAAGATTAACTTGTGGTAAAAAGGTCACACAATTTTGACATTGTTTTATTATTTGTCTAGCTTGTTCCTTAGTTGTTTTAAAATGCTTCTGTAAAGTATTAGCATTGACATGGAAGCTTTTATGAAAATTTGTAGCTTCTTCTAGTGTAGAGAAAATATGTATGTCATGTGTAGTTTTTTCTGCTAAATCATTGCCCAAACTAAGGGCTCTAGGCAATCCTGTATGTGCCCTGATATCTCCTATAAAGAATGGATCTTTTCTGTCACAGATTAGACTTTGTATAGTGGAAAACAAAGAGAAAACAGTAGAGGAAGGAGAAATTACCAGCATCTTCAAGGGATACTATAGCATTAACTATATACTGACTATCAGAAAATAAATTAAATACAGAAACTTTAAACATCACAAAAGCTTGGAATACTGCATTAAGCTCTACATTTTAGCTGATTGTTTCAGTACTAAAAATGTAAAAGTTTGATCAGGGGTAACTACTGCTGCTGTACCATTATTTGACCCATCAGTGAATATATTTGGAACATTCATGATAGGTGTTTTTCTTGTCATTTTTGGAAAAAAACTACAGGATGCGAAGACGAAAAAGACAACAAAGGATTAGATGGTAAGTGATTATCAAATGAAACATTAGATTTGCACATGATTATTGCCCAAGTATTTAACTCATTAGCTAACTCATCAATTTGATCCATAGTATATGGAGTAATAATTTTATTGGGAGAAATTCCAAACACTCCCTTTGCTGCTTTTATTCCTTTGCGTATCAATTGTCCTACAGCCTCAGGATACCTAGTAAGAATAGTGTTAGGAGAATAAGATAAATGTACCCACAATAATGGACCTTCTTGCCAAAATACTCCTGTAGGAATATTTTTTGTTGGTATTATGATAAATAACAAAGGCAAACTTATATCAATTATATTCAAATGCATATTTTCCATATATGTTTCAATAATTTTTAATGCCTTTCTTGCTTCAGGCGTTAACATGTGGGGTGAATTTGGATCTGATGGACCTTTTAGGATATCAAATAAAGGTCCTAGCTCTCCTGTTGGTATGCCTAGATAAGGCCTTATCCAATTTATGTCTCCCAATAACTTTTGAAAGTCGTTAAGTGATTTGAGTTGATCTACTCGTATTTGAATTTTTGGTGGATGGACCATGGTTGAGGATAATAGAACTCCTAAATAATTAATTGGAAGATTTAATTGTACTTTATCTATTGCTATCTCTAGATTATAATTTTTTAATAAATTTGTAAGTGTGACATAACCTTCTAGCAATATGTTTTTATCTTTATGTGCCAATAATACATCATCCATATAGTGAAATATTTGTAGTTCAGGATTTTGATTTCTAAGTGGCTGGATTGCTTTGTTAACATAAATTTGACACATAGTTGGACTATTAGCCATCCCTTGAGGGAGTACTTTCCATTAATATCTCTGATCAGGACCTTCATGATTTAGTGCAGGGATAGTAAATGCAAAGCGTGGACTATCCTCAGGATGAATTGGAATTGAAAAAAACAATCTTTAATATTTATAGCTAAAACATACCAGGTTTTTGGCAAAGCAGACAATTGGGGAATCCCTGATTGAGCAGGTCCCATAATAACCATCTCATTATTAATGGCTCTTAAATCTTGCAATAATCTCCATTTACCAGATTTCTTTTTAATGACAAAAATGGGAGTATTATGGGGAGACACGGAAGGTTGTATATGTCCCTCCACTAATTGTTGGTTGACCAGGTCATGGGCTACTTGTATCTTTTCTTTAGTCAGGGGCCACTGAGGAACCCACACTGGTCTTTCTGATTTCCAAGTAATTTTGATTGTCTCAGTGCCCCTTTCTGAAAACCCAATCCATGTCTATTTATTCCTTGATCTATTTGAATTGGTGCTGTCAGACCTTCTTCTTGTTCTCTTAATCTTTTTTCTTTCCTAAACCCTTGTCTAGCCCTAGTAGTGGGCGCGTTAGGATTGATGTTATTTGTTAATGTCAAACCTAATTGATCTAGGACATCTCGTCCCCATAAATTTATAGGAAGATGATCCAATACAAAAGGCTGTATAGTTCCTTCACATCCTTCAGGATCCTTACAATCCAATACTATTGTACTTCTATGGGAATTAGTTGCCACTCCTGGGCCTCGAAGCGCTTGAGTGGCTTGTTGTAATAGCCAATGTTTTGGCCATTCTTGACGAGATGTGATGCTAAGGTCAGCTCCTGTGTCCAGTAGCCCATTAAATTCATGTCCTTGAATATTTAGTTTTAGCATTGGGTGAGAATCTAAATTTAAAGACAGCATAGCCCTATCCACACCTGTGGAGCCTAATCCCCTGGAACCTCTTTCTACAGAACGACTGGAAAATTTATCATGCAGGCTGGGTATTATTAATAACTGTGCTATTCTATCTCCTGGTGATATTACTGATATACCTCTTGGAGAACTAGCTATGATTTTTATTTCACCTTCATAATCGGGATCAATTACCCCAGGACTTATCATAAATCCTTTTAGTGTAGAAAAACTGCGTCCCAATAATAAGCCTACTGTTCCTTGGGGAAGAGGTCCTTTTACTCCTGTGGGAATGATTTAAACTCCCATCTCTAGAGTTAGTACTGCTCTGGTGGAGGTGCAGATGTCCAACCCTGCACTCCCTCTAGTTTGTCTGATGAGGGATTTAATGGATAATGTGTCCTGGGCACTACACTGATGGTGTTGCTGGGTTCCCCCATTGCTCCATATATTTGTGGTTGTGGGCCCCGGAGCATTGGGCCCCCCAGTCCGTTTTTTGGCAATGGAGCCTGATGCCTTTCTCCACGATATCATGCGTAAACACTTGGTGCTTTTCCGTTTTTTGATAACGGAATACCCTCTATGGTAGTTTGAGAATGGTATTCATTAGCCCAATCTCTCCCTCTACGGCATCATGGGCAAATACCCGGTATTCTATTCCTTTGATACCTAGCTTTGTTAAATCCTCCCCCTATGGGGCAACACCTTTTAAAATGTCCTGTTTGTTCACAATTGTAGCATGTTTTTGGCCTAGCATCTAAAGCCTGTTGTACTGCTGCCAAGACTTGCTCTTGTTCATTAATGTCTCTACATAATTTAATATATGTGTTTAAATCTTCATGTCTCCATGGTCTAATGACCTCTCTGCAGCAACAATTTGCTTGGTCATAAGCCAGTTGTTTTATAAATGGCATTGCTTGTTCTGTATCCCCCCAAATTCTGGAAGCTGTTTGAATAAGCCTATCTACAAATTAAGCATAAGGTTCATTAGTTCCTTGTATTACCTTAGATAATTGTCCTTATAAATCTCCATGCCCCTGTAAAGTTTTCCATGCCCTAACCACATCTACAGCAATTTGTGCGTATATGCCAGGATCATATTCAATTTGTTGCCGTTGAACCTCATAAGGTCCTTTTCCTAACAACATATCTAGATTTCTTTGAGGGTAACCAGCTGCTGCATTTTGCCTAGCTGTCTCCATGCAAAATTCCTCATTGGCAACCTTCCATAACAAATATTGTCCTCCATTTAGCACAGATCGACACATGGTAGCCCAATCTGCTGGCGTCATGTCCAAGTTGGTAATGGATTTGACCATGCTCACAGTGAAGGGTGCTTGCAGGCCATAGGTTGTTACAGCCTCCTTTAATTGCTTCACTGTTTTGAAATCTAAAGCACGGTGAATTCGTTGCCCTCCTGCCTGCTCAAGTACAGGGCATGCTAATCTTTGAGGTCCTGCCTCAGGATTCCGTCCATCAATTACGGGAGTTGAGGGCCACTCAGCTGTAGATGGAGCTGTTGGTTGAATTACGCCCTCTGGTGATAGAACAGAGTTAGTAGCAGCCTCCTGTTGTAGCTCCCCCCCTGATGTTTGTTTGTCCTTTAAGCTTTCTTCCTTTAAATTTTCCTCTGTCTGACTAGCTCGAGACACCTTCTCTTTTGCTTGACCTAACATGTTTTCTACCATAGTCTGGACCTCTAACAATTTACTTAACAGTCTTTCGGTTTGTTTTTTACTAATTTCTAAATTACTATAAAGGTAATGCAACCCAATAAGATAACATAAAACAAAACCGAGACAGAATGAAACAAAAACAGAACAAAAAATCGTTGTATCAATTTTCTCTTTCTCAGGGCCGAACAACTTCAAACCTTGAGCCAACCATTTTTCCCAGTTTGCCTGAGAAAATTCTAAGGATAGGCAGCTTGAAACAAAAACAAAATAAATCAAAACAAGAACACATTGTTTTTTGAAATGGTCACCCATTCTCTCTCCTTCCCTCAGGGGCAAGCAATTTTACTCACCTCCAAGCTTCAGGCGTCCCCCGCACGGGCCACCAATTGCCGCAGTCTGGCTGGGCACAAAATCACGAGCCACTCAAGCAGGAACAAACTTTATTTTTGAAACTGATGCCAATACCCCATACGCTCCAGGGAAGATTGCTGACCAACCCATGTGGCATTGTCCCGGACCCCCACAGGAAGTCCCTCCTCTGGAATTCCCTCCTACCACACTTCCCCAACCAATGGGAACTCTCCAGGAGTCCCTTAGCAGGCCAGGTGAACAGCAGGAATCTAATATCCATAAGAATGCAGATCTTAACATAATCATATCATCTCAATGGCTTGCTGGCATCACCTTTCAACCAAAAATGCCATGCATCATATTACTTGGCTGTGGCTCTTAACACTATGATGGTCCCAAAAGTGAGTAGAGCTGTGGTTAATGAAGTTATCCTGACTGTAATTAAGGCAAGCCTCAGATAGGTGTCATCCTATTTTGGTAGAGGAGGATTTATATTTGATACCTTCAGACAGGGACGATTTTACTGCCTTTATGTGAGAAGAGGAATGCTATGAGCTGTTTCAGGTACATTTTGCTATCTCCTCCCCTTTTTTAAAACATTGTATTTTAAGGGGTGGTGTTGTGGATCAGTGGTATAGCATTTGCCTAGCATGTATGAGGCACTGTGTTTGATTCTCAGCATGGCATATAAATAAATGAATAAAATGAAGGTCTATTAAAAACTAAAAATATTTCAGAAAATTATATTTTATCTCTTAAAAGCATAACTATACCATTTCCCTTAATCACTTTTTACTGTTTATCAAGGTATACATACACTAATGTGCAAGCTGTGTACAGCTTGATGTAATTTCACATAGATGTATACATCCTGGTGGACACATTTCCAGGATTCCAGGAAGTTCATTCATCTCCTTTATCAATAATCACTCCACAGAGGAAATTGGATTTTGACTCTTATTACTCTTGATTTGGTGTGCTTTTTCTGACTTTTCAAATAAATGTTAAAACTACAACATGTACTGTTACCTGTTTGGCTTCTTTTACTCAACATAATGTCTGGTTTGTCAGTTGGTTGCTCTTATTTCTCTTGGTATATGCTATATGTGGGGAATGCAATTACTGAATGATAGGGTATACTTCAATTGTAGTTTTGGTAGATACTTTAGATTTTCAAAAATGTTGGTTCCACCAGTACATGTGAGTGTTGGCTATTCTGCATACTGTGCCCACACTTTCTAACTTTAGTTCTTCAGCAGAGTGTGTGGTGATGTTTTTTTGTTGTTGTTGAAATATGCATTTTCCTGACATGTCATGAATTTGAATAGTTTTTGGTGTGCTTATTGGTTATTTGTATATCTTAATTAGGCTACCTTTTGAAGCATTTCACCCATTTTTATTTTCTTTTTTCTTTTGAAGTGTTTCCTTGCTGCTAAAAAGTCCTTGGCTATAACTAAGCTTCAATCTGGATCCTGAGGCTAAAAGATGTGCATTTGTCTGTCTCCGAGTCTTGGCTGTGCATCCTTTTGCATTGTCTTTTCTTCCAGCTGGGATGTTTTCTTCACAGTAGGCTTCAGAAGTTCTGTGGTGCTTTCTTCCCAAGATAATGCTTCAGGGAGAAGAGTGACATCTTTTTTGAACAGTTCCAATATAATCATCAAAATGGAATCTGAGGGGGGGAGGGGGGATAGTAGAGGATAGGAAAGGCAACAGAATAGAACAGACACTAGTATGGCAGTATGTAAAAACATGGATGTGTAACTGATGTGATTCTGGAATGTGTATGCGGGGTAAAAATGGGAGTTCATAACCCACTTGAATCAAATGTATGAAATATGATATGTCAAGAGCTATGTAATGTTTTGAACAACTAATAATAAAAAAATGGAATCTGATTAATGGCTTATTTTGTCCACCATGGCCAGGGGAATGTTAATACTCTGATTTGTTTAGGACCAGCTCCCAGTTTCTCATTGAGAAACTGAGGTTAGAATTTGCACCGCTAAATCATAGAGCTGTGGCAGTTATGATGCACATGGAGAGGAGAGAGAGGCAGCTGTGAGCAGGTGAGGGCTCAAAATAGGTGCAATATTGTAAGCTTGCACCTGATGCTGACTTTGGGAAATACAAAGTCTGGGAACTTACCCAGTGTTTGTTACTTCCTAGAAATCCTTTTAGAATGTCAGATGCCACATGTCTTTTAGATTGCTAAAAATTGCTCTCAGTCTTTACAGAACATAAAAATAAGTAGAGACCTGAGTGTTCTTTATGAAGTATTTGCCTAGACCAAGATACTGAATATATTTTATGTTTTCTTTTTGACCCTTCATTGTTTGACTTCTTGTATTCAGGTCGGTGATCCATTTCAAGTATTTTTTTGTTTGATAGGGTGTGAGGTAGGATGCAGGTGTATGTGTACAGATTTATCCACTAGATCATGTTTTCCCTCAGCTTAGGTATGCAATCTATGTCTTTTGGTTTGTTTGTCTTTCCTTGCAGCAGCACCATACTATCTTAATTTGTATTGCTTTGTAGTATTTTTGGAAATCTAGTAATAAATTCTCATTTTAGAATTTATTAATTTTTATAAAAATATTCAGAGTCCATTTTATAGAATAACCTAAGGATAATTTAGATCTTAAGACAGAATTGCATCTTTCAATTGATGAACATGATGCAACAATCCATTTACCTAGGTTGTCTTTAATTTTTCTGAAGGTGTTTTGTAGTTTAATTGTAGAGGTCTTGAATGCCTTTATTTCTAGATACATGGTGTGTTTTGCTTTGTAAATTTTTTTATTTTTAATTTTTGGATTAGTACATACCTTTTTATATTTAATTTTTGGATTAGTACACACCTTTTTCTTACATCAGCTTTATAGCTAGTGAGATAAATTTAACTCACTCAAGTAATTCTCACCTGGTTTCTAAATCTTTTATTTATTTTTCTTGTCTTATTTAATGAATAGAGGTCATGAAAATGAATATCTTTTCCTTGTTCCTGTATGAAAGAGTATTCAACATCTCACCATTAAATATAATGCTACTTGTAAATTTTCATAGATAACTTTTATCAAATTAAGTGAATTCTGTTTTGTTCCTGGATTGTCAAATATTTTTAAAAATCACAAATTGATATTGGATTTTAACCAGTGCCTTTTCTGCATGTATCAGGGTCTTTAAAAAATCCTTAATTCTGTTAACAGAATGAACTATACATTCTTTGATTTTCAGATGGTAAAACAATATGTATTACTGGAATAAATTAAATTTGTACATATTGGTCTATTAGCCTTTGCATTTTGCTAGATTCAACATGCTACTTTAAAGAAAATCATGTCTGTATTTATATTGGTGTTTGTTTTATGATTTATCAAAATGTATATATGATTTTTTTTCTTGGTTTTTGTTCTTGTTTTTGGTACTGGGGATTGAACCCAGGGGAACTCTACCACTGAGGCACATATCCAGCCCTTTTTATTTTGAGATGGGTCTTGCTAAGTTGCTCAGGCTGGCCTTGAACTTACAATTCTTTCTCAGGCTCCCAAGTTGCTGGAATTACAGGTGTGTGCCCCTGTAATTTTTTTTCCTTTTTATTTTATTCTTCTTTAACCTCCTGTTGGCCTAGTATTCTAGTTTCTTGCAAGAAAACACATCTTTTGGAATCATGCCCCTGGTTATTGGAAATTATTGGACTTTGCCTCACCCCAGAAAACCAATAAAAATTTCCACATCTTGCTTTGGTGAAACAGCCTCGTTCCTTAATTAGTGCTGTCCACCTTTGGTGAAGCCCTAATTAAAGGCTTGCTTCTGTGTGCCCACAATATTGGACTTGGTCTCATTCCTGTTTCCAAGCCAGAAGATCCTGTCTCCAATAACAAAGGCAGCCCCTTGTCCACCCAGGCTGGTATTTAACTGGATCATGCCCAGTTCTCACACTTCCAAAACTGAAGCTGGTGGTAGTTTATCCATAGGTGTCTGGTGCTGAAGAAGTTCTAGAGCCTCATCTGTAAGTACTGGCCTCACAATAGCTGTGCTGCCTGAGACTGGGTGACTGGTGGTAGAAATGGACCCCAAGACTGACACTAAGCTGGGTCACATCTGAGTCTCACATCCAGAGGACAGATACAATTTTGGGGAGGCTGGTGATGATATAGGCTGAATGATATAGTCTCTCCGAGGTGGCATGAAGGTATCTGCCTGATGCTGGTTCATGTCTAGAGGCTCCATCTGTGAGCTCGGGCCTACACAGGGGCCTTGGTCTCTATTCTTCTCAGTCTCACAGTTGCAGGCCTGTCACTGAGCTCCAAGACAAAGACCCGTACTAGCTTTCATGACCTGTTCTCCTGTGGAGGTAGTCCTTCTCCTCCCTCAGCTGCCCACTCTTGGGGGAAGGGTGATGGAGAATTTCTGTGGTTCTGTGCCCTGGCAAACACAGTTCCAGCAGCAAGCTCACTGAGCTAGTATTGGAGGTTGTGGGACTGTGCATGGCCATGGCCATAGGTGGTGGTGGGTTTTTTTTTTTTGTACTGGGGATTAAGCTCAGGAACACTTAACCACTGAGCCAATCTCCAGCCTTTTAATTTCTTTTTTTTTTTAGTTGTAGATGGACACAATATCTCTATTTATTTTTATGTGGTGCTGAGATTCAAACCAAGTGCCTCACGCATGCAATGCAACTGATCTACCACTGAGCTACAACCCCAGTCCCCATCCGTTTTATTTTATTTTATTTTATTTAGAGACAGAGTCTTGGCTGAGTTGCTGAGGATACTTTGAACTCTCAAGCCTCCTGCCTCAGCCTTCCAAATTGCTGGGATTACAGGGTTTACAGGCTGTGCCACCTGCCAGCATGGCAGCTGGTTTCACCCAGGCCTGGTAAAGGGTTTGAAATCTAAGGCCTAGAGTTATTTCTTTCTCCCTTGTCTAGGTGGAAAGTGTCTCTACATGCTGAGCTGCTTAGAGATGGAGGCGGATGGCAACTCTTTTTGTATCCTCTTCAAACATCTTTTTTTTTTTCTACTAACAGCAGACACTATGGTCTCTCAACTGGTTTCCTTAACATCCCCTGCCTTCCTACTTGGGAAGGAACCCAGGCTAGGCAAATGCTCCACTAGTGAGGTAAATCCCCAGCTCTTTTTGGAAATTATTTATTTATTTAGGTACTGAGGACTTAACTCAGGGGCACTCGACCAATGAGCCACACCCCCAGCCTATTTTTGAATTTTACTTAGAGACAGGGTCTCGGTGAGTTGCTTAGGGCCTTGCCCTTGCTGAGGCTGTCTTTGAACTCGTGATCCTCCTGCCTAAGTTTCCTGAGCTGCTGGGATTACAGGTGTGCGCCAGGTTGGAAGTTTTTATCTTAAGACAGGGTGTTACTAAGTTGCCCAGACTGGTTTTGAACTTCTGGCCTCAGGGGTGCATTGGTTTCCTCAGCTCTTGAGAAGATAGCTGAGAGCACGCATAGCTCTTCAACTTGGTATCACCGCCAGAGGATAGTCGCCATCATGCTCTGCTTTTCCAAACGACCTGATTATTCTTTTTTTTTTTTTAATTTTTTATTGTGGGTTGTTCAAAACATTACAAATTTCTTGACATATCATATTCCACACTTTGATTGAAGTGGGTTATGAACTCCCACCTTCACCCCATACACAGATTGCAGAATCACATCAGTTACACATCCATTGATTTACATATTGCCATACTAGTGTCTGTTGTGCTCCGCTGCCTTTCCCATCCTCCACCCTCCCCCCTCCCCACCTCTCCCCTCCCCTCCCCTCCTCTCTCTCTATCCCCTCCACTGTATAACCCTGAGGGTCTCCTTCCATTACCATGCAATTTCCCTTCTCTCTCCCTTTCCCTCCCACCTCTCATCCCTGTTAAATGTTAATCTTCTTCTCCTGCTCTTCATCCCTACTCTGATCTTAGTTACTCTCCTTATATCAAAGAAGACATTTGGCATTTACGACCTGATTATTCTTTCTTTACCCTCAGCCCCTGCAAAACCCATCATTT